TTCCATCGAAATAAAGTCGATCCCCATCGCAACCCAGGTGGTTCGCGTACAGATAAACGCCCCCATTCTTCCTCATAGCCTCCATGATAAGACTAACTCGGATATCAAGCTTTCTCAGAGTATGATGAGATCCGGACGAATTGGCCATGATCTCCACCCCATTCAGACTCATATCATTATGAGGCGACTGTGGCGTGAACAGCTCTTCACAGGTTTCCACGCCAACACACGTATCTGCCGTTGATATCACCGCGTCACCAATAGGCACCTTGGTCGTGCCCTGAATCTCTCTCACCATTCTGGGCAGATAGTACTCCTCAACATGTCTTGGTCCAACCCAGGGTATGAAGTGTCTCATTTCTCGGTAATTTCCATCATTTGCGAGCCATAACTTCGGTCTGATGAGCAAGATCTTCCCGTCCAAGCAGATGATTCGGCAATTGAATCGATTGTTGCGGTGCATCACCGGCATCCCGATGTCGAGGAGAATTCCATCACAGCTTCTGTCCTTGAGGATAATGCATAGCATCTCCCAGCAATGAAGGTATAAGTCTGCTTCGAAGAAATGGTCAAGACACGAGTATCCGCATATTTCAAGTTCGGGGCCAACTCTGAGAGTCGCGCCAGCAGCTTTTGCCTTGTGTATGCTCTCGATGATGCGTTTGGTATTTCCTTCAAAGTCAAGAGCCCAGTTTCGAAGCGAACAGGTCGCTACGCACGCTAGATGGCCCATTGTTCATGTGGTAGTAGACAGCGGCTCTTTGCACTACCTTTCCGAAGTTGCCGAATGGCTGCTGGTTATTCAAAGCCAGGCGGGGTTTGTGACGCGTACAGCCAACTAAAGAAAGGTACTACGATATTAGAAGCAAGAAGATGAAGAATATATGGTAGCAATGCTTAGAGAGCTACTCGCTGAACATCTAAGGGAGATTCAGATAGCCGAGTTGTAAGTCCATTGGGTATCTAGCAGCTGGGCAGTTCAGAATGAAGACTGGTAACTAGCTCGAAGGAGGAAAACAAAGATGAAGAGGGAAAGGAACAGTCTGAACATGCCTTTTCTTTAACAGCGACTCACCACTATTACGCATGAACAACGCCCGCTATCTTCCTTGCTTGCCTTTTGACGAAATAGCTTCCAAGCGATGGAATCTCCCGCGGTTTCAATAATAATAATAATAATAATACAACAGAGGCGGCGCTGCAGATCGTACGGAGTGCTATGATGCCAGAGTTACGTAATTTTACACGTGACAGCGTATTCAAGCTTATATAAGCTAACAAGGTCCTCAGCTGTCTATATCCATTAGTTTAAGTAACGAGATAGCAATGATTGCTGCTGAAACGTTGAGGAGCCAGGGGCAGCTTGATAATCTTGCCAGGTGTTTAGTTGGATGCCATGTCGAGGGTACGGTGCGTTTGAAGACAGGGGAGTTATTAACCTCCCCCTTGCCATCTACAAATATGCGCCGGAAACAAAGTGAAACAGCCGGATCAGGGGACCTGTGGTTCGTTAAGGGACTGACTGATATTGATTGACTGGTTGAAGGTTGGTATGATATAGTTTGATGGTAGAGAAGAGAAAAAGAGAGCAGCCGGAGGAATGCAGGATGAGCAAAGTAAGTTGGTCCAAATAAGATGAGTAAATGAGTAGTAGTAAGTAGATATTAATATAAATGCGCTGTGCTGTGCTGTGCTAGTTAACATCAAGTATCAAAAGAAGGTAGGATTAGAAGTAGCCAAGAGAAAGGAAAGGGGAGAAAAGTAAGGGAATAGGTAAAAACAAAAATAAGTATTCATAGTTCTCATTTATAGTAAGTTATATCTCAAAAGATGTGAGAAAAGAGATAAAACGCAGAAAGTCGAGGATGAGAAGCGAAATGAAACCGGTGGAAAGTTGAAGGAAGGAATATTGGAAAAAAAAAAAAAAAAAAAAAAAAAAAAAAAAAAGGTATCCGGACTCCGACTACTGCAGGGTAGATGATCGAAAATAAACAGACAGACAGGCGGGCAGGCAGGCTTGATGCGTGAATATATTTTGGGTTAAGCGGGTGGAAGGAGGGTACGTGGTGTCGTCAGTTGGTCAATATAAAAGTGAACAGGGTGGTGGGTTCATCAAAGTCATGTTGTCCGAAAGTCGTTATGATGATAGAAAGTTGGAGAAGAGCATGATTTCTTTTCGTAATGAAATATCCCAAGCCACGATGGATAAGGTGAGTATGTGGCAGATTGACGATGAACCAGGGATGGGCGTCGTGTTGATGGCTGTAGTAGGGTTATTTCGATGTTGCTTTAACGGGTCGTCCCAGCGCCCGCTCGACTTGAGAAATAAAAAACGGCTCATTCTAAAAACAGGTGCTTTTCTTTCCTTTCCATGTCGTATTTTTTTTTGGGTTCTTTTCGATTTTGTATTTTTTTTTCTTGTTGTTTTCGCTTGCTTTGTGTAATTTAGTTGTGTGGGAATTCTAATCGTTCCAGCCCCATACTTGCTTCAGGAAGTGCGCCATATTCACTTTCTTGTTCTTTATTTCGAGCATCCATGGGTGTTCTAGCATTCGCCAGGGCGTGGCTCGTCGGGGATGGTCTTTCTCCAAGCTGAATAGATATGTTAGCTGTGATACTAATATGAAGAAGAGCAGGCTCTAGTTATACGTACCAGCATTCGATGAAGTATTTAAAGTTGTCACTCCAGTGGATGCCGTTGTGAGGCTCGTCCTTGAGTTTTGGGATGGGCTGATGGATGATGTAAGTGAGAAGGTCAATGAGGACCGATCTAGGCTGGATCTCTGTCCCGTCGGCAGGGAAGGGGAATCGGTGCTGTGCAACTTCAAGCAGTGTAACTCCGAGGGACCAGACGTCGGAGGTGATGGTGTAGGACTGTCCAGTGATTCTCTCAGGGGCCATGTAGTAGGATGTGCCAATGAAAGTGTTTGCATCGCCCTTGGTCCCGAATTCGCCGCTTACACCAAAGTCACAAAGCTTGACTTGGCCTTTGCGGCAGAGAAGGATATTCGAAGGTTTTATATCTGTAGACATGCGTTAGAATATAGTAATTTATTTCAACGAAATATATGCGGCGAGTATACCTCTGTGGATGATCTTTCGGCCGTGGAGGTATGTCAGGCCGTTCAAGACGCCCTCGGCAACTTTTCCAAGCACCTTCTCTCCGGTTCGACCACCAAGTTTCTTAACTTCTCTGTATATGCTGTCTAGACTGCCGCCTTCGCATAGTTCCATGATGATGGATATCGAGCTACTTGACCGGTCGACGAATGCACCATAGTATCTGCATATGTAGTCTGAAGCACATCCCTTGTTGAAATTAAGCTCTCGAACAATCTGTTTCTTGACATCTGGATTCGGGTCGGTTGTGATGATCTGGTTATAGAAGTTAGTATTTTATCCCAAATTACAGAGGACGAAGAGTAAAGAGAAAAAAAAGACGGACTCGCCTTTAAAGCAAAAACGGTCTTTCCTCCCTTGAGCAGACATCGAGTGACAGCTCCACCGGCACCCTCACCGAGGCTGCCGAGCTCGATGATCTTGCCCTGTTCACTGGCAGCCAACCACCGCTCATCATCCAGGTCTTCTACGTCCAGAGGCCGTCCAAGTTCCTGGCTGAGCTTGTCAAGGTCCGTCAGGCCGTTGACACTGTTTTCTCTCTCCATGGCCGAGCCATCGCCTAGATCCGAGTACACTGAGCTGATGGCCGAAGAAGGATCAGGAGTCGAACCATAGGGCTGTGGAAGGCCATAGGCAAAGGAAGGAGCAGAGTAAGTGGACGAGCTGGCCGAGGTAGGAGGTCCGCTACCCCTGGCGTCAGGGCCGCCGGTAAAGCTCCCCGACCGTGAGTGTACATTATTAATCTGGCCGTTGCTGTTGCTGTCTGACGAGCCTGTTGAATTGTAGTGTTGTGGAATGGGGCGGCCGTTGTGCAGAGCGTTGGCATCCTGGAATGCAGGCTTGTTGCCGCCGCCCGTGGCGCCCATGGGGGTGGCCAGTCTCAGCTTTGGGGGTCCTCTGCTGGCGGGCTTCTGGGGGACGTTGATGGCGAGGGCCGGTACCGGTGCCGGAGCCGGGGCTGCCACGCCCGTCTGGTTGACCGGTTTGGCATTGGGAGACGGCGGTATGCCCAATGTGAGGGATGGGAGCTTGTGGTTGCGATGTGCGCCAGGCACCGGAGTCTTGAGGACGGGAGCGGGAGCGGGAGAGGACATGGTGAACTGCAAAGAAAGGCCACGTGAGTCAATCACAGAGGCAGGAGAGGATCGAGGGCGAGCAGCAAGAGGGAGTCGAGGGCCCCGAGCTGGCAGAGAGACACCAGGCAGCTCTGGGAGACGGGCGGGTGGTAGTTGTAGAAGGTGAAGGGAAGTTGATGGAGGTCGAGTCGAGGGCGTAAGCTGGGGCAGCTGTGGGTGGCGGGGAGATCCCGTACGCAGAGCAAGGTAGCCAGGCGAGAGAGACGCAGCAAAGATTGCACGGGGATGTCAGTCCCTTTATCAGGCCTCGAGGGCTTGCCGTCTATCCGTCTGTCTGTCTGAGGTGTAAGAAGACAGGGCAGGACAGGGCAGGGCGGCTGGAGGTGAAGAGGAGAGAGAGAGAGAGGACGAGTGAGCGAGCGAGCGAAAGACGAGGCAGCGAGTCGAAGGCAAGGAGACGCAGGGGACGACAGCGTTGCCTCCGAAGCCCCTCGTTCGGCCTGACCTGAGTCGACTGTGATGGAGCTGCAAGGCTATGCAGGCTGGAGAGCGCTAGGAGGTGAAGCTGGCGATGGACGCTGATGGTCGGTGGTGAAGGCGAGGGCGAAGGACGAGAAAAAGGTGAAGAAACGCTTTCTTGAGATCGGACGAAAAGGACCAGGATAAGACAATCAACCCTCAGGCAGCGAGCGAGAGACGACGCGGCAGCAAACGAACGTCGACGGCCAGCCAGCCAGCCAGCCAGCAGCAGTTTAGGAGAGGGTAAAAACGGGGGACGCCAGGCCTGGGGCGGTTGGATGTTTCATGTGGCCGAAGGGTGAGGCAGAGGCAGAAGTAGATGAAGATGAAGACAGCAACAGAACAGAAGACGGAGACGAAGACGAAGACGACGGCGACAAAGAGACGATGAAGATACGACGAAGAGAGCGACAAGAGGCAACGGCCTGGCTTCGTCTCCTTTCGTTTCTTCTTCTCTCTGGCTTCCGTCGAGTTTCAGCAAGCGCCCGGAAGCAAAAGCGCCAGGACAGATCGAAATGGCCGGCCAGTGGAAGCGAAGAAGTAGAAGAAGCAAAAGGTACAGGCAGTCAAGAGGATCGAGGATCGAGGATCGAGGATGAGGATAAGACGCTGCTTGCTGTTCAAACGGTGCAGTTTATATATCTACATCGGCCTGGCTATATATACAACCAGGCTGAGCCCTCGCAGCGCGATCATCTTGCCGCTGCTTCGCCATCGTCCGCCAGACGGGCTTGCTCTTGCATGAGGGCTGAAACATTTCCTCCAGCAGGAAGACTGCTCTACGGAGTAGCTATTTACTGCTCACCCTTTTGGCCAGCAGCAGAATGCGTTCTGGGGTTGCTCTCGTCTTACGTCGTTGGCTACATAATAATACATATGGAGTACACAGACGGCCCTGAACTCGATGCAAAAAGATACGAATGTGCGGGCGTTGTTTGCTATGAATAGAAATGTACCATGCATGGGGGAGCAAGGGACAGAGAGCATCCCGTTCTACGCATGCATGGACGGGTTCCTCGTCGCCTCTTCTTTTCTTTTCTTCTTCGCTTTGCGTTGCTTGGTCGGGTACCTGGAAGCGGGCGGCATGGCTGATCGATCACTCGCCTGGGGGGTTAAGACATCAAACGCATTTATTATTAATATTATTATCATCATGTAGACATCAGTGCATTATCATCATTCGTCTAGACAACAACAGGAGTGGTAGCTGTGTATATGCAATGTATATGCAAAGAGTACAGCTCCTAGAAGTCATAGAGGCGGTGTTGATACCCCTATGCTAAGGGGGTATTATACCACCAGAACCTCATCCCCTTTTTTCCATACAGTTAACTACATGACGGCGAGACGTCGGGTCCAGGTCGAAAAAAACATCCTTGCCGAAGCTGGTAGACAAGCAAGCCAGCAAGCCAGTGACTTACTGCTACTCTGGACTTCTCTGGCCCGAAGCAGGTGCTGGTGCTGGTGCCCCAATCACCCATCCGATGCCGCTGACCAGTCCTTCAGTTACCAGATTGCTCACAACGTCCCTCTTCCGTGTCCGAGGAGTCTCAACCCCCTGCCCTTCCTCGCCAGAGCTGTTGTTCGTCATGCTTCTACTGCTGTTGTTCGTCGGGCTGGCAGACGTCAGCGGGAATGCGTTCTTGCGCAGCGCCGATGCAGCACCACGAGCAACGTCAAACAGGCCCATCGGCGCCTCTTCGTATCCGCTTAGCTTGGCTGGTCTCTGCGGCTGGGGCTGTCGTGTGGAACGTGCTCGTCGTTCGCGCTCAAGTTCGGTGTCAAGAGCGTCCAGCTCGCTGCTCGACGGGCCGAAGCCACCGGGAACAGCAGCTCCCACGCCCATACCCATGCCAATGCGGCCCTGCTGATCGCCCTGGTAGTCCCAGCTCTCTGCCTCCTGTATCTCTTGCTCCTGGAGAGTCGACATCTCTTCGTCACACCGTCGCCAGACAGCCAGGATCTCAGGAAGGTACTCGGAAGACGGGGCCAGGACAAGGGCTAAGGAGAGCAGCTCCATGCGCTGGGAAAGGCGTGCGATCCTGGAAACAAGCGTCGTCTCCTGCGCTTCTTTGCCAGTCGGCGGATGACGGCCGGTGTTGTATGCGGCGCGCCATGAGATGTCGTCGTCCACTTCGTCTTCATCTTGCGCATGTCCTGTCTCGCCACGCTCGCTGACAGGAACTAGAGACGGGGGAATCACCCGTGTGACGACATAGGAGTACGCAGTGTCAAAGTCGGATGCGTTCACTGCAGCCGCGATGGCAAGGGACATTATTCGCCTCTCTGCTAATACAACGGCCTGATTGGGGGATGCAGTCGAAGCTGCTATCCCCTTGTTGGTAGGGAGCCCAGCTGCAACCAAATGTCGCCCAATCGCTAATAGATCGTCAAGCTGCGTATACCCCTTGGGATTCTGCTCGAGAACCTTTTCAATCAATGAGATCGGGTCCTGATGTACACGGATGCTGACGGGTTGAAAGGGTACGCCATGCTGAAGCGTCAGCGAATAAAACGACAGGGCGTGGGTTGCAGACAGCAAGCTGCTGATCTGCTGGAATGAGACCGACTGCGGAAAGTATGGGGCAAATGCTTCGAGCCTAAAATTTTTCTCGTTAGAACAAATGCTTTTAAAAACGCACCGGGTGGAAGACAACGGGGATGTGGTTCTCGTACAGGTCTGCTGATCGCTTCATGCCACCTCTGGTCTTATTGCCATTGGTTGCATTGTCATACGACGCAAATATCGTCTCCGTCACAGCCGATTCGATCTCATCTCGAGGAAGAGGCATGGAGCCTGGCGAGTCAAGATACATATCCGCAGCAAGTTTGTATTCTACTCACATAGGTTGTTAGCATGGAGATTTCCCTAAATTACTACGTTCAAGGGGAAAGTTTACCTCTCGCCGTCAACATGGCAATAAAGATTTCTCGTTCAAGTTTAAGCAAGGGAATCCTGGAGAATAGCCCCTGCGGTACCTCTGGCTGCGTGCTGCCTCCCCAGCTATGCAGCCAGAGCAGACTCGCCCTAACCTGGGCCCAGTCCCGAGGCGGAGGATGTTGGTGGTTGAGAGTCTCAAGCAGTTTTCGCAGTTCGAAAAACTGTGCATCAGCCTGTCCCAACAGCATCAACTCCGCTGCAGCTCGAGGCGACATCCAACGGCCATACTGATCAAGTATGCGGATGGACACCAGTATAGCGTCTGTAAAGGATATTGACTGCTTTGTAGGGTATGTGAGAGGGTTCGAAGAGTTCAAGAGCATGTTATGTAGGAGGTGCTGCCGAGATACTCTCTCAAGTTCCGGTATATGAAGTGAGAGAGGATATAGGCCGGCACTGTTGATATGCAACCGATCATCGAATCCAGTAAAATCAGCGACTCTCGATAGTATGCGAGCCGCACCTGATATTAGTCCAAAACCGCCATCAGATAGGGCATATATTGACGCAAGGCCAGCTTGCGCATATAGAGACATCTGCCTCTTTTCCGTATCTCCAGATAGCTCTTCATCCTGTGCCCCATCGTAGTCACCCAGATTTATATCTCCTGGCCCTGACCACTGCTCCACTGCCTCAATGGCCAAGTGGAAGTCACGAATGCTGGTCGACAAGATCCACTCGTTTACATCTTGCCAGCCAATCTCAGCCAAATCAGCGCCGCTATTTGTGCTTTTTTTGTTGTCTAGTTTCCGCCTCTTCGATTTGACATGTCCGTACATCCAGGGGCCAATCAGGCCCTTCAAGTCTCTACCAACATCCCCTCCCTTAGCATGTGGTTCAACTGCAGAAAGGAAGATGTTCACCGCACTTCTTGAATCCAGTGACTCTATCAGTTCTAACGACAAGGCTCCTTCATTGTCAGGATGGTATTCGTAGTTGAACCTTATAGCGGGTAAGACAACGGAAATAGTCCAGTCGCGAAGAGTGTTTGAACTCGAGATGAACGGATCCACTAGTTCGAGAATATATAGCTGCAGGCCGACTTCGGTATCAATTCTGTGCGCTCGATGGATCAAGAACTGGATAAGAGGCGGTTCGGAGGCGTCGATATTAATGTGTGGGCGTCGAAGAGGGAGTAGTTTCAGGTGTCGAACTTGTTTGCGAGCGTCGGGCTCGGATATTTCTCTGATGGCGGCAATATCTGCTTCCAAGTCGCAGTCCGGAGGTGGTGAGCCATTGACAAGATGCTTGATCACTTGAGTATATCGTTCGGGCTCTGTAATCTCTGGTAGGAATGTAAGGACTATTCGAAATAGCAGTTCTAGATGGAGGGTATGCGGAAACTGGGATTTGAGAAGCGGAAGGCCCGATATGTCCCCGTTCAGACAAAGCTGTACAGCTAAGAGGACAGCATGGGAATCTGATAAACCTTCAAGAACCGTCATCTTTCTAATATTATCATGATCAACAGGCGCAATATGCTCTGTTGAACCAGGCATTTAGAGTGGTCATAACATCCAACAGTGTTAGATTGAATAATAGAAAGATGTGGCACCAAAAGAGGGTTTGTATTAGATAATCAAGCAAGCTCGGACCAACGCCTTGAGAACGACCAACGACGGGCTTTCAAAAGCGTCGGCCAAAACCACAGGTCAACTTGAAATCGCATTCCTCACACAGGCAATTGAGACACAATGGCGTCCGGATACGGTCTTAACGGTGGTAAGTGCATATTCATGTTTCCTTATGCGTTCTTTTTTATTGTATACACTGCAGCGGAGGCGCAAACAGTGGAGGTTTGGAGTGTTAGCCAGACTGCTAACTTACGGCCCTTTAGGCGTGTCACGATGCTTTCCCTTCTGGCAGGACTTGCTCGGCTGCTACGTCGTCAACTCTGTTGAGGGTGAGGCTGGCAAGAAGAAGTGTATCGGGGTTCTAGATGACTACTATGAGTGCCTACATCACAAGAAAGAGGTCAGCAGTTTTCCCCAACACCTATAAGTCGGAAGAGCATTTCGACCCTCTCCCCAGACCCTTTGCCGGAATAAAAAGCGAAATAAATTTTGAATACAAGACTAAATTATATCTTCGACTAGGCCGCGAGAACCCGAGAAATGCAAAATGCCTACCGAAAAGCCATGTCATCCCATCCCAGAGAGAACGCCCCCAGAGCTGAACAGATAAGCCCATTAGGATTACTGGGCAAGGAAGATGCGAAATCATCATGATTCCGAGCTTTGGGTGAGAGAAATTGACGGACGACAGAGGATTATATTTGTGTGTAAATAAAGGAGGAAAGGAAGAAGAGAAGAGGTCTGGGTTTAGAGAGATTGTTTTCCTCCATATCCGCTCCGTGTACCTGGCAGCATGCCGTGGAGTTCATGTTTTACTATTCGATTCCCCCCAACGTAGCAATGAATTGTTTGCTCCTGGTGGCTTTGCCCTATTCTGTTCATCCTGATCTTGACATTTTTCTCGGATCTTTCATTTTTCATCCATGACACCAGCCGCGCGTGCAACATGGACTTGGCTACTCCACAAGTAACAGCATATCCGTCTTTTGATTTGGTTTGCTAGGAGCGGGAGATTTTTAGAGCCGGTTCACACAGTTGCTGGAGTAAGATTAGGTACCCAAGCAATCCATCCTTCCTGGCTGTCAAGACTAGCCTATCGCCCGGAAAGCCATCTCTTTGGTCGTTTCGTACTATTTACTGCCTACCCAGACAGCCAGGAAAAGCCGTCAAATAATATACCTAATAAAAGAGGAAACTACTCCATAGCGACCCCTTTGTGAGCTTCTTCAGTCCACCACCGAATGTCCCAAATGTCCGCCCGGGCATCACGGCCATCATGTGACCTGAAGAAAAACTGGCTGCAGCAGGATCCCTCATATACGAAGCGCTCTGCATAATCCCTCCACAAGGCTATTTATTTTACGTGTGAGAGGTGCTTCAAGTGTGCCGCCCAACGCCTTAAACCCGAAAGCTTGTCGATATATAGCACAAGC